AGACAGACAGACAGACAGACAGATAGATAGATAGATAGATAGATAGATAGATAGATAGATTAGATAGATTAGAGAGATTAGATAGATAGATCGATAGATAGATCGATAGATAGATAGATGGATAGATGGATAGATGGATACATGGATAGATACATGGATAGATGGATAGATGGGTAGATGGATAGATGGATAGATAGACAGATTAGATAGATAGATAGATAGATAGATAGATAGATAGATAGATAGATAGATAGATAGATAGATAGATAGATAGATAGATAGATAGATAGATAGATAGATAGATAGATAGATAGATAGATAGATAGATAGATAGATAGATAGATAGATAGATAGATAGATAGATAGATAGATAGATAGATAGATAGATAGATAGATAGATAGATAGATAGATAGATAGATAGATAGATAGATAGATAGATAGATAGATAGATAGATAGATAGATAGATAGATAGATAATAGATCGATAGACGATAGACAGATAGATAGATCGAGATAGATAGATAGATAGATAGATAGATAGATAGGACAGATAGATAGGATAGATTAGATAGACAGATAGATAGATAGATAGACAGACAGATAGATAGATAGATAGACAGATAGATAGATAGATAGATGGATAGATAGATAGATAGACAGATAGATAGATAGACAGATAAATAGATAGATAGACAGATAGATAGATAGATAGATAGATGGATAGATAGATAGACAGACAGATAGATAGATAGATATTGAATGACCTACTGAACATGAGAGTCGAGAGGATGTCGAAATATTTCGATCTGAACACAGCCACCCAGTATCCAGGTGGGGTAGGGTGCCGGCACTTCGAAACAGCCTCTTGGCAGAAGCCCACCGAAGCGTCTTCCCAGAAGGGGATTTGTTGGGCCATGGCACGCCCCGGGACACTTGGGGAGGTAGCCTCCTGTGGAACCAAACGATATATGGCAAAACCTATGGCAAAACCATGGGTCTTCCATATCTATGAAAAGAATTTACTGGAGGGTATCTAACTATAGTAACCCCCCAAAAATGGGAAAAGTATGAAAAGGTTCAATTCACCACTATTTTAGATTCGGATTTCACCAAATTCTATGTTTTTTGGGGTTGCTAGAACCTGAATGGATGCTCTGTTATTTGTGGTTCCTCAATATGACGAGCTATAAATGACCATCTAACAGGATGTTCAGTTTTGTGCAGCTGAGATTTTGGGCCGCTTGGGTATACAGGTTTGCACCATCAAGTTTCATATTAGGTGGCGTAGCACTTGAAAATTGGTTGGTGGTTTCAAACATTTTTCGTTTCCCCAATATTGCGGATGATGATTCTATTTGATTTTCATGCCTTTGGGACGGTTCAAAGCACAGGAGAAACCGAAACTGACCTGAGCAAGACCTCCCCCTGCAGCTTTTAAGGCAAATATGGAGTTCGTTTCCGACGGCAGTTCTACTACGTGTTCAAGCGGCAGTTGAAGTTGCGCTGGAGGGATCGGAACGGTCTGCTGGCAGATTTGCGGCATGGCAGCATATATGGCAACAACGTGTTTTGGCACGGGTTTCCTTTTGGCATTTAGAACGGTGGCGAGCAGTTGTGTGAAACAGAACGCAAAAGGATAGAATGATAGAACTACGGTATGAACGAAACTGAGCTTTGGGCGGGATGTTTCCGGGTATCATTTTTTGTTTTATTACTGTTTGAAGTTGAGAACATCTGATGTCTACAAGAAAAAGAGAACCCTTTCTCCATTTTGTTCTGATGTGTTTGTCAAGGCTGGGTGGAATCATCAAGGCGGCAGCGAGCAGCTTTTTCGATGGAACTGGCCTTTTGCGGGCTAATAAGATTGAGGGTGAAAGACGGGAGGTACTTAACTATATCTTACACCATCATCCACTATGGTAGAAGTTGACATGTCAGAGTGTTCGGACCAACTCCACCATTTCTTGATCTTGAGGCCGGAAACAATTTTTACTGGGGCATCCAGTGAGTATAACTCTTTCGCTGCATACGCTCGAAACATCTGGAATCGAAGTTGTATAGTCGGAATTGTCAACTTGTAGTGGTAGTTGTGTCATGTTGTATCCAGGTAAGGTATCCATCATGTTTGGAAGCATTGTGCCACAACGCTCCAAGAAACTCCAGAAGTCGTGTCGGACCAAGTGTCGCTTCGTGGAAGGCCCTGGTGGTTGGCATTGTCTACATGCGAACTGGCGAGTTGGACATCAAGGCGCAGGTCTCCTTCTTTTTCATGTTCCTTGGATGCAGCAGGTCAAAGGCAAAGTTGGGTTGTGCAATGGATGGGAAACAATGTGCATGTTAATGTTACGTATTGTTATGTATACAATACCATAATAACATATTATAACAGAATATGCACATGGATACATCACAGAATTGACATCAACAATTTGATGCAAGGCAAAGTGGAGCTTGGAAGCCCAGTGTCGCCTCACCCATGTAGATAAGAGCACAAGATGATTGCTTTTTGATCCACCAGTAGGGCATGGATATCCACTGGTTCATCGCAATTAACCTGGCTGGTTTGCAAACATGTCAATTTGAAACATCTCACCAATAGAACTTGGATTTTCCCACAAAAACGGTGCCCGTTTTTTGTGTTAATTACTAGTAGATTACTAGTAGTTGTAGCCGCAATTCTTTGTTTGTCCTGCGCCCATTTTGTGTGGTTATCATCCCACTTTCCTTGAAAAAAATGGCACCCTGGCTGCGCGGCACGGGCGCGAGGCTTTGCATGTCGTGTGCCATTGATGGCCTAAAGACTCTTGGTGCTGTCGCATTTCGTATTGAACATGTGATGCTCAGGGACCCAGGGATTGTTGGTTGGCAATGTGATGTGCAGTTGTGGTGGGATGATCAAAATCTGAAACATGGCAAGTTTGGTGCCGCAGCACTGACGTCCGTGTTGTGTTTCAGAAGGTTCCAGAGATATTCTTAGCATGTTTTTAGCTGTGTGGTTCTTATCTCGATAGCAAGATCAGCAAGATTGTCTACGTGTTTTTTGGAAGCAGGGTCTTTCTGCAGACCGCCACTATATCTGAGGAAATCCAGGGTGTCACCACCGCTGGTCCCCTCCCAGGATGATCCAATTGTCAAGCACCACAGCGCAACCTGCCGAGCATCTGAGGAACATGCCCACAGTCATTTCGGAGCGCACCATAGTAAAGACGGAAGTTGCCGAGGCCGCATGGGACATGGCAGTTGCTATTATGAGGTCCCAGTTGCCCTCTTCAGTTCAGTCCAGTTTCTCAAGTCTGGTTTCCTTTATTACATTTCCTATTTGCCTGTGTTTTTTTTCGCGTTTCTTGCAGGTGCTCTACAGTGACTGGGCACAGCCCTCAGATATTGCAATGGACTGGCTCATGTATCATGCCAAATCAGCCCTGGCCCTGTGAAAGTAGCCCTGGTTGCAGAAGGTTCTCGTGTCTTGCTGACTGGCAGCTTCATATATTTTAGCCGCCTTTTCTTCCTACCTGCAATGATTGACCCGCACCACTATTCAGACTATACCAGACTATACCTACCAATATCTATATAATTGTATTTCCATCTTTGTTCATCTTTATCGGGTATACCGTATACCCCATCAGTAGTCCCTTTTTGCAGAATCCAACATTTCTATACATTTCTTGGGATATGTGGCAGCACCACCAGCAATCTGGCCACAGCGATATCGAGCCAAGGCCTACATCATCTCCTTCACTTTCCTCAGCTTGGTGCAAGAGGTGGTGGTTCATAGTTCCTCGGATGTGGACATTGGGCTTTTGGATAATGACGGAGACCTAGTTTTTTGGGATTTCTATGAAAACATGGGGTATATGTATATGGTGTACACCAAATCTTAATACATATATATATATATATACATAGAAGTTTAACATACTTCGACGGGGAAAATGGGGATAAGTGACGATAAACCACTGGATTGAGGGTCTTTCATTCTTGGACAAGCTCGTATCCAAGATGCTTGGTTCACGTTGAAAACATTCCGTGTCCCAATTTGTGCGGAAGAGGGACAGCTCCTGGTACTGTAATCTGAGTGACGGAAGCGTGTTACATTGAGTCGGGGGTACGTTATGTTTATGCAATATGATTGTTACATGCTCTCGGCGTATTCAAATTCACCATCTTATTTTTTTTCCTCGTGCAATGTTGGAATGCCATTCTCAGTGATTCTTGCTTCTATTCAACTAAAAAGGCCTCCCATATTGTTGGAAAGCGAGTGAACAAGATGAAGTTCATTCAAGGCCTCAATGCATCTAACAGGCACTTCCCCGATCCTTTCTTTTACCTGCTTTTGATATGCCTCCAGAGATTCTACTATACAGATGTTTCTCCAAAAACGCAGCCCTGTAAGAAACTCTGACTGGAGTTCTCATCATTGTGGGATATTGGGGGGCTTCTGAAGAATCCGTGAATCAACTCCATCACTGACCAAGGTATCTTTGTTGTGATCATATTTGCGATGAGTGGGCTGCTGCTTGACTTCACATGTCCAGAGAAGTCCAACATGTTTCTGTTCTCAGTGGAGTTGTGACCCCTACAGCTGGGGTCAGAAGTGGGTGATTCTTCTAATTCAATACGCAACAGGATGTCGCTTCGTGAGGTGAGAAGGTCTGGAAGTTCTTGGTTTTGGGTTGTATATGAAGTTATGCTAACAAACATACTCCCATGTATGGCTGACGGAATGGAGGCAGTTTTGCAGGAGAAGGGGAAACACAACATTTCAAACGTCATCATTCGCAGCTCCTGTATAATACATATATATATATGTATATATATATGTATACGCATCATTATATCTCGTGGTTGGTGATTTGAAATCTTGCTTTCGAGTCCCATTTAGAATATGTTCAATTTGAAATGCGTGGCCCAAACGGGCACTGCCAGTGACACCAAACCGCGCAACCAAGGCGGTGGACAATGTTCCCCTCAATCTATTTGTGGACAACACTTTTGGCAGAGCCTTGACATGAATGACCTGAACGGAAAAAGCCATGAGAATCATGAGAAATGAAATGAGCTTTGAAGTGCCACCTCTCTTTTTTCGTTGTTTTTTCAGGCCCTTTCTGCCACGTCCTGAGCCAATGTGGTGCGCCAGGTGACAATGGATGCAATGTACTTGATGGTTGCCTCAGTGGCAAAGGATTCCACCACTGCGATCATCATGTCACTGCCCTTCATGTGCCTTTGCTGATGCTGTCATGATTTGATATGATTTCTATGTCTGCTTGAAAAAAAAACATGCTTTTTTCTGGGACTCCTGGGATGATCCTAATTATTCTAATTCTCTTCCTTTTTCTAATCTTTGGGATGGCTGGCTCAACGTCCAGATGGATTTTGAGCGAAGATCTGCGCGCATGTAATTTGTAGTCAGCCAACCGTAGAGTTTGAGCCGTGAATAGTTAAATCATTAAGAGCGGTTAAGTGCGTAATGTTCCATCCATTTTATCCCTTACATGTGATTGAATTGTCTGGATGCACTTAGTGTGCCATCCATTAAGCGCCTCTTACGTATTTAGATTGTCATTTACCTATTTAGCCATGTCATTCTGTAGTTACTGTAGTTGGTTGAACTTGACCCCCACTCTTTTTTTATTACTAGTAGACACAAGCGTGTGCCCTGTATCATGTATCATCAGATATGCGTATCAGGTAACATTTTTCAATATTTTTCATATTTCGTGACAATCCCGAGGATATAAAATATCACAACATTGTGCATTGGGAGTTGGTTTGTAATGGAACCTATTAAAATTGATGATTTGGGGGTACCCCCATTTCATCCCATTTCAGGAAGCCTCCACATGGTACAAACATCAAATAATCTCCAGGTTGACGGCTCCACTTCCCCCCCCCCGAGGATGCTGTTTCTTCTTTTCAATGGCTTCACTGCAACCCGATCCTCCGTGGTCCCGTGGATGCGTCTCTCGGTGTAGCAGACGTGGAAAAGGCGGATGCAACCAAGAAGAATTTGGACATACGGGAAATTTATATTGGACACATGAAGATCTATAGTATATCTTCAAAATATTCAATATATTTATTCCCAAAATGGTGCTATATTCAATACAGGCCGAGTAAAAGTGGGGAAGCACATGGCTGAAACATGGGCTATTGAGAAATCATGCTAGTATCAATCCCCAAACACGTGAGATTTGCCAGCATTAGGAGCAAACCAATGGGGAGACAATGGGGATATCATGGGGAGATGATGGGATAACTGGGATATAAAGTCCCGGGGATCCAACCGACTCCAACAAGAATTGAATCAACGATGATGGAGATTTAAAAGCCGTATGAAGATCGGTACATCAATAAGCCTTTTAGCTTTGTTCGAACATGAAGTGAGAGTCTCACCAAAAGGATGATGTACTGTACCCACTGTCTGGGGGATGCAGATGAAACTATACACTTGGTGCATTCCCTTCGACATGTCAAACAGTGCAGATCTTTTCGAAAACATACACCTCAGCTTAACTGGGATGAAGTCTTGTATTTTCAAAAAATGGACAAGTTGACTGCACATTTTTTTAAAACATGTTTCGCACTAAATCTATATTCGTATGTATATATATATACACATCTGTATATATTTCTTCTCTATGTACATAACACACATGTGTATATTATCCTATATTATATCATATTATATTACATTATACTATACTATAATTGTTATATTATATTATCTTATATTATATTATATTATGTTATATTATATAATATTATATTATATTATATTATATTATATATATTATATTATATTATATTATATTATATTATGTTATGTTATGTTATGTTATGTTATGTTATATTATATTATATTATATTATATTATATATACACATATCATACACATATCATCATATTATTTCATTTTTAATATGCAAATGGTGATCCCACTTCCCAGCAGCGTCCTTTTCGGCGACAACTCGCACTTCCGCGTCGCGAAAATTTCGCCCGCAGGTTGGGCGATCGAAATCTCTCCAGTGGCCTACAGCATGCAGCAGCTCACTTTTACAGCCATGTGCCTTTGACTCCAAGATGCCTAGTTTTTTGGGTCCAGACACGTTGGATATTTGATGGGATACTATAACAATGGGATGGCCCAGCAATTTTTCACCAGATTTCATATGGGATATGTCAGACTTGGGATATCTTGGAGTGTTGGACCGATATCGATGTTTCATCAGCTATCATGGGTGGATTTGCTGGGTATATCATATGGGACAGAATGTGATATATATATATACACATAATCACCCAATATCAACACTATCACAATGATACTTGAATTTGTGTGAAAATGGAGGATACCTCAACAAATACAATCTAAATAATTTAAATGGAGGAACATCATGATCAATTACTAGTGATTAATCATCAAGAAATTGGGGTAACCCATTTTCAGACACACCCACTTTGTTGTCCCACCTGGGGCAAGTTCAAGGTATGGTATGCCATCTTGACAAGAATCCAGTATGATTGCTAGTTCATGCACACCATTTGGCGCAGGACACGGAGTTTCTTGATCACCTTTTGGGAATTCGAATTTGTCCACAGGATGTCAGGTGAAACTTGGGTGGATTCAGTAGTCAGGTTCATTCATAGATCAGTGGCCTTTATTCATTGGCATTAGCTAACCCAAGGAAGTCCTGGAATATCCCAGATACATAGTTCATTTTCAACGTCACTTAGATCCAAAGATGGGTTTGTCTGAAAGTAGGGTACCATTCACTGGCAGTCTTGGAGGCATCCCGGATTTTCGGACCACCTCATAATATCCATGATTCGCCGGTGAAATCCCTATTATATTGTTGCTATTTGTTGCTTAAATCAAATAACTCCCCGTTTTGGCTGCTTGAATTTAAGTATCGTTTGACCCACGAACAATCGGCAGCTCATCGAAACGAAGCAACGCAGCGCCGCACGCGGCGGCGCTCAGGTGGGCATACGAAGATAACGATTCGCTGAACGCCAGTGAGGAAGCCTAGGATGGCTCCTGCAGGATGGAACCTGCAGATGACGGTAATCAAACATGGCTATCCCATCCCTTCTACCCTCTGGTAAACTAACATAACTATGGAAAATCACCATTTTCAATGGGTAAATCCACTATAAATGGTCATTTTCAATAGCTATTTTGACATAACCAGAGGGTAAAATGTTGAATTTTAAAGGGAAGGTCATCCATGAATGGGGGATTTGTGAATTCTCCCAGATGCCGGCTAATAAAAAAGGATGATTCCAACATGGGTTTGGTGATGGGTTTGATGATTTCTGCTAGAAAAACTTGCGGTTCCACTTCGGTGGGTGCATGTGGATAGCCTGCATTTGGCTGATGCAGCAAAGTCCAAGATGGATCCAGTTGTATGCGCTTCTTCACTTTAGTGTTGAATAAGACAGAGGCAAACCGATCGTGTCAGTTCATCCTGTCATGTTCTGCGATACTGGTACCTAACAACTTGGGTATGTATTCCCAAGAAGAGTTATCCATAGTTATCCAAATCATTCGATGCGGAGACTTCTAATATCTTCTAATCATAACGGATGGGCTGAGGCTACATCTACATCGTCTCCAGTTCGGACTATAAGGACCATCTCGCTGGCCTTTGGAGTTGATGGTAGAGGTGGTAAACCCGAAGCCAATCAGCCATTCTGGATGGTTTGGTCCCAATTCTGCTTCAATCATTCAATCAGCTATGGTTTATGGCATTGTGTTGCCTACGGGTTTATGGATGTTTATGGCATTTGGAACACCAAGTGCATCCTGGCGCAAATGCCCACCCCGGGATTGAAAACCCGGCCCAGTTTTCTCAGTTTGTTCCGCTTAAACCTGGCATAGGGATACACATGAACCAACCAGACATAGTGCCTAGTAATGATCACACATTACAAACAACCATGAGACCATACCATGTATATGCTGTATATATGTACATATACAGAATGAGATATGTTTCCATGTACCATAAATGGAGTATATTACACAATTTATGCAATATTGTTTATACTGTATAATTGTGTGATGGGAAGGGATAGGATCGGACCGGGGCATGGCTTTCATGGCTCACATGTTGAAGGACCAGCCAATTCGGGCGGTCGCTGTTATAGCCAGCTGCTTCGCGGTCTTCAAGATCACACAAATGCGCCTTGGTGGCTCTTGGTGCAATGGGAGCACTGGGCACAAACGAGAGAAGATGGCATGATATGATATGATGATGATGGTGGTGGTGGTGATGATGGTGATGATGGTGATGATGGTGACGATGGTGATGATGGAGATGATGGATGACAGATGATAGATGATCCACCCGCCTCCAACTTTTTTGTTCAGGAGATCTTCTAACATTTCTTACCTGGCTATTGTCCGGTTTACCTTTCATACTACGCCGCGATAACATCACCTGCAAAAATGGAATCAGAAAGTCCATTGTGATATTATGTGCTGGCTGCAAGTAGACCACTTGATCGCCGCACCTGATTGCAGGGTATGCTTCCACTGTCTGAACAACATCAGACGATAACGAGTTCGTTTCTCTTGTATCTTGGCGAAACTTTGATTCCCGGTCTCTGCGGGCTGCATGTGTTTGCAATGGAACTGAAGCAATTCAGTGATGTGGACACTTGCAATGCCTCTCCGAATGTCACTGCCATAAGATTGGAACTTCACTAATACTAAGCAGATACTGTATTTAGTCAATTTAGTCTTGTGAGATCTCAATTTTGCTGTTTCACATGTTTCACACTCCTTAGGTTCCAATCGTATGTCGCTTTAATCTACGCAACACGCACTGCCTGGTCCTCAGATGCTGATCAGATGAGGTCCACGTGGACAAGATTGATTTTGTTCGACGTTAAATATCTTGATTGTACATTATTGGATATTGATTTATATATTTTATCTTGATTTGACATGTCTTGAGTCTTGATGTTATTTTTTGCCAAGGTGCTGACACTCCCCACCTATACTAGAAGACCCTGAATTTCTTTTTTGACTCCCATGTTTAAGATACTCGTAGTGGTGATCGCAAGATCGAAGTCGAAAGAAGGAATTCCTGGCTACGGCTACACGTCTTCGAACATGTTTTCCAAATGTAGAGGGGGTAAACATCAGCTGACCTGGCGGTTTTGTTTAAATAGTCATAGTTGGCAGCTCTCCCATCACCACGACTTTGAATATTTATAGAGTAGTGAAAATTTGACAACCAGGTTGGAGAGTCAGTATATGTAATATATATATATACACACATACACAGTATATATATATACACATACACAATGTATATATATATACACATTTATATATGTATAGTATATAGCAGATAAAAGTTGAAGGAAATCACATAATGTGACCCCCTTGTACATATTATTGTACTCCACTTGGTTGACATAGGTTACTATGTGTCTTACCAAACAGTTCACCTCATTTTGGTACATACCAACTTTTGGCTCAAGCACTGAGTAAAAGGGGTGCTTGGGCGCTAGTGCTGACTTGTGGTGTGTGGCTGTGCATCACAAGTTCAATAGGTTAACAGCTTCATCCGCTTTGTGCATTCCATATATAGCTTAGCAAGGACTTGAGCCATCCTTTGTTAGGCAAACCCCGCCACTTAATTCCTGCCTTTGGTCCCATAGCTAAATCGAGTTGCAAAGCTTTGGCCCACTTGTGCAGCGTTAAGTGTGACCTTCCACCGCCTATCCAGGTATCGGAAGTGAAGCATAAGAGCATCCGTGTTTAGGACCGTGTGCTCCGGGGGTGGAAGTCTGCACATCTATTGCAGCACCACTCACCAATAACATCCATAAAAGGGAGTAGAGTGATCACATTGCTAGACGTGTGTTCAGCCTTTACTCAGTCCAACCACAACCGCAATTGGTGTGTAGCTTGACTATTTAAGTGCTTGTCCCTCGTCGAAACTTGCACTTGGTCGAGATGTGTCAGAGACCTCACCAGTTGCCGAACAAAGACCAATTTCGAAAGTGAGTTCTTAGGTTGGCATTTTGCCCGCGATCCCAAACTTGTGCAAGGGCATTTGTCTTGAGAGATCCTAGGAACATAATTAGTGGAAGCATATCCCAAATAATCAAAGGTTAGGCCAGAAACTAGTGAATCAAGAGAGATCGGTGTACCTATCGGATCAAGCAAGCTATACCTTTAGTTTCGCCGCAAGAGCTACGCAAGAGCTACTCTTTTGTTTCACTGCAAGAGCAAGACCTGCGACGCAAGACTGTGTATGCCACCTTTGCCACCTCCGGCACCATCGAGAGGTAGGAGTCGGTCGAGAGACAGGTTCCAGACCAGGGTTGCTGGGGTCATCGCTGCTCACTGGAGAAACCTTCGCTGCCGCAGGGCAGGTCAGAAAGGTCAAGCAGCGCGGCGTACAAGGGCAATTCACAAACATCTTATTGGGATCTTGATTGAGTATCTTGGCCAGTTGTTGACAGGCTTCACTCGGCGCCCACCGCCGTCAGAGGTGATTGTTCGAAAGTGACAGGCTGAAGTTCGATTGAGGTATCTTGAGGACGGGAATTTCCCAGCAAACAAGTTCGAGGTCTTGCCAGGATTGCGAGAATTTGTACGGGATAATCACGATTGGAGGGAACAACTTGGCTTAGTCTCAGAGGATTTGTCTGACATTGAAAGTCGATCAACAAACGACACAATCTCTGTCCATTCAAGTGAACCTGAGCAAGAGGCTGAAGACACCAATCCATTTGGTGATTCAGTGTTGAGGGCTGCGTGGGAACGCCTCCAGGCAAAAGGGCCTGAATACATCGAGCAGTTGCGAAGAGAAGTGGAAGGACAGTCAATTCCAAATCTTCCAGAAAGGTTTCGGAGGGGTCCACATCTTGAACCGTCATCTTCATCAGCGGCTGCATCGAGCTCGACAGTGCCAGCACCAAAGGTGCGACCGTCGAGTGAGGAAGGGGTGAGAATCGCGGGACATTCTTCAGTTCGAATCACGAGATCGAATCCGTTGCTCAGACCTCCACGGCCTCCACCTCAACCAGTTCCCAACAGAGTGCAGTATCGTGATCCTTCACAAAGTGAAATCAATTGGTTGCAGCTTCAAGTCATTGAGGGACAGTCATCTTTGACCAATTCACAGGCTGTGATCAGTTGGGACCACCACCTTTTTGTGGATACATTCAGAGTTTCATCTAGAAACGTTGTGGGGGCATCTGAAGGCGAATATCCAAGGGCAGTCAAAGACGTGCTTGCAATTGTGCACGGTTTGCATAGCAACATTGCACAAGTTGTTTGTTCGTAATGTCACAGGGACGATACTGTCCAGAACGTCATCCAGTGTACCTCAAATCAAACGGAACTTGCCAAGATCTTCATCACCCGTAAGCCAACAGGCGAACAGGGTAAACTTGCCGTGTTGCGGTCACACTTCAGCTTGAGTACGGTGTTGATCCACGTCGACGATTCACCGGAGGTGCTGAGTGAGATTCGACAGTTCGTTGACGAACAGGGCAACGCTTGCAATTGGAGAGTTGTTGGCTGTTGGCATTTCAATCCGAAACAAGAGGAAAATTCCAGGTGTCCATTACTGCATCAACGTGCGTGAAGCACTGCAGTTTATCCGGCAGAAGACCGGTTTGGCCTGACTTTGCATTGAGGGGTGGGAAAGTAGGTCTCCGGGATTGGTTGTCTGCATCCGTGCAGCTCCAATTTCCAAAACAAATCAATAGTCATAAGTGCTTGTTGATTAGCAGGTAACCCATCCGCTAGTGGTTGAGAGCATTTTGCTCGCGAGTTCCGCAGTCAACATCATGCCACAAATCAAAGAAATCATGGATGAAACCGGCACTTCCGAAGGAACATCATTGCAGGTTTCGTCAACATCACCAGAGGTGATTCAGAATGTTGGTAGGGCATTGCAAGTTCGTGAAACCACTAGTCAAGCTAGTAGGTCTTCCAGCTCGTCGTCATCTCGACGTGCAGTGCCAGCCACTCCAAAACAACAATCTTCACAGTTGTCAGTAAGAAATAAGACCAAGAAAGGCCAGGATGGTCCAACATCATCTCGTAGTTCGAGTTTGCACAGCAGTACCCATAGACCGCCAAGACTAGGGTCACATCGTGGGGAAGGGTCTATAGTTCCAGTCTTGTATCTCCAGTGCCAGCGGATCAGGGTTTGGTATCAGGATTGAGTGATGATGAAATGGAGGATTCACCTCGAGTTCATGTACATGCTACTCAACAGAACCTCTATGACCAAAGGTCCGTTCACATCCAAGTTGGGGTTGACCCTGATCAAGTCATCCAACATGTTCAATCCGTAGAATCACAAGCCCAATCCATGGTCCGGGATGCAGTGACACGTGTTCATGAAACCCAGCATAGAGCTGAACGTGTTGTTCATGAAGCCCGGGTACAAGCCCAAAATGTTGTGCATGATACTCAATTGCGAGCCCAAAGGGTTTATGACGAAGCTCATAATGCAGTCCATCAAGCCAGGTCGCATGCGTCAACTGTTGAAGAAAGAGCTAATGCATTAATCCAAGAAATGAATGCTAGGCACCAATCAGAATTGACTAGAGTACAAGATGTTGCAAACCAACTTCAATATCAAGCTCATGTTCGTTCTCAGGAATCGGATGCCCAGCTTCAAAAACTCATGGCCGTAGTGGAATCCCAAAATCAGGCTCTTGAAACCCAAAGGGTTAGGAATGAGGAGTTGTCTGCACATGTTGCAGCTCTCCAGAATGAAGTGGTTATGTTGAGACATTCATCAGTTCCAGTTGCCCCCTCACAGGATCCGAATGGCGCGGTAAACCAAGAGGAACTGAGAATTGTCATTGACTCACTTCGCAGGGAGATTAGGCAAAGCCAAAATCTTAGCATTCCGATTCAACTGCCAGTGCCACAAAGGATGTCCATTGCTACGCCACCACATGATACCCAATCAGCATGTGCAGGGTATCCGCCAGCATTCCAGGGTCCTCCAAGTCCGGTCAAGGGTCCTCGGTCAGCTCATGCCTCAACGGCCACGCCGCCATTCGTGCCGCCTCCAGGACAAAGTCCATCAGGGTCTAGTTCGTCTTCAAAAGAAGGTCAAGGACCAGGGGGGTTTCCATTTGGTTGGCCTGATGGTCCACCAACACCAAGTAATCCAGGTGGTAGTAGTTTTGGGGATAGTCCACATTCACAACATCCAAGTTTGCATAGCGTTGGTGTCGGGTCCGCGTCTTTGTCATCCGAAGAGTCTGTTTATCGCTATAAAGCATTGCAGTCCATAAAGATTGACTCGCTGCCCCAAGATGCTGCTGCATTCAGAGGTTGGAAAAATGGACTAGTCACCAAACTATGAGGCACTCGACCCAAATGCTGACTTAAGTGTCAGTGAATGCATGTTTCTTCCAAGACTTGATGCATACTTAGCAGCTGTCCTTACGGAACCAAAACATCTAAGAGGAGATCTTGGGGTGCAATTTCAAGCATATGTTGAGCAATGCCAGCAGACTCGTGTTTCTCCAAAGGGCCGATTCATGTTGCAGCTCATCGCTCGGCGTTTTCAGTTGGACTTGAATAGAGGTGCCAATTTGACTTAGCAATCTCTCCTAGAGTTGAACCTTGAGTCTTACACACCAGAGTCCTTAGCCAAGTTCATAGAACGCATCGAGCTAGTGCTTAATTCAATCCCGCCAAGCCATCAGCCGAGTGAGCTCACGAAGTTCACCTGGTTGTTCAGCCGATTGAAGCCTTGTCGTGCTATGCAGCGATTCATAGATCGGATAAAGGATGCTCGTGAGGGCTCACATGTCCGTACATGGGATTGGTTG